GGGGGGCGGGCCGCCCGCCCGGGCCCCCCTCCCCTGCCCGGGCCCCAGCAGCCGGCTTTCCTCCTGGTTTTCTGTCCCACCTGCGGCACCCAGGCCGGCCCAGCCCCCTCCAGTTTCATGGAGACACTTTATCCCCCAGCAGATTCCTGGGCCCCAGCCACTTTCTACCCCACCTGCTTGCTTTTAAAAGTACGTGCCCTCTGGGCAAAAACACAGCAGCAGCACCTCCCCTTCCCAATTTCGGGAAAGCCCCTCTCCAGCACCTCCCTGGGACGCTCAGAGGCCCCGTCGAGCCCAGAAACACTCCGATCTTCCCCTTGCATGGCTGCTTTGCAGAGCAGAGACCCCCCCAGCAGCCCAGCCTGGCTCCCCCCGCCCCGGGACGACTCCCACGGATCCCCAGCTGCTCTCTCTCTGGGATTTAATTAAAGCTGTGAACATGCCCAGCTCAGACATTTGTAAAAATATTTTTGCACGACAGGCGCTTCCAGACCTCCACCTCCCCGGCCTCTCCGGTTACAGCCTCAGGCAACAGCGGCTGAGCCTGGAGGATTCCCAGGGGCACCCAGCAGGGCTCAGGACTTATCCCGGTACCCTGGCACCCGCCGTGCACAGCCCCAACAGACCGCGCTCCCAGCTGTCAATGCCCAGGTGCTGGGCTTGCCCTGCCCGCCTGCAGGCAGCTCCCAGCTTTGCCCTGCAGGCTGATGCCCCCAGCATAAGCGTCCTGCCTGCTGCTCTGCCAGGAAGGTTTTTTTTTTGCACTGGAACGACCGAGGAAAGGAAAGAAATGCAGCCGAGATGAGACACCGACTCAGCCCGTAACTGGCTGAAACCATGGCCGCCCTTCCTATTGCAGTGCAGGAGTGACAAACAGAAACCAGCAGCATCAACATCTAACAGCAACTTCTCACAGCTAATTGGGCTGAAGACAAAGCGCCTGCCCCTTGCAGAAAGAGCAACTTCAAAGTCAGTCCCAGACACCTCCCAATCACAGCAAATGGGAAACCCAACTGAAACCCTGCTCTGAGGATGTACTCGATGTAGGAGGGAAGATACCCATCATCTGTCTATGCAGGTGTCTCTGCTGCCCTGCCTTGAAATTGAGCCTGGGAAGAGCCAACAGGGCTAGCTCCACCAGAGAAGGATTTAGTGGCACAATCAGCACAACATTTAGTAAGCAGTTATGGTGTATTATGAAGCGCAGACTCCCTGATTTCTGCAGGCAAGCATCCTTAAAAATAACCCCACTGGAGCCACCGTGCGTGAGGGAAAAGACTAGTTTTGTAGTTTTGGCCAAGTCAGTGGCTGTCTTGATATCCACCAGAAAAGTCTCTGATCAACTGAAGTGCAGCAGGAGTCGAAGAGGAGGGCCTGGAGGCAGCTGATGGGTTTAGCATTTGCTGTTTTCATTTCCACAGCATCTGCAAAGCCTCAGTAGCAGACTAGGCCCTGCAGTGCAAGGTCTTGACAAACACACAACAGGGACAGCCTGCCCAAGACACAGCACTTGAAGCCTGAACAGGACATAAGGCAGAAAAATGTACAGGAGGGGCACAGAAAAGCCAAGGTGTGTCTCTGCAGCTCAGAGAGTAATGAAAATAACAACAACAGAGTTATTTTGAAGAAGGATTTTTTTTTTTTTTAAGGAATGGCATTTGTTTTGCAGAGGAGCAAGCTCAAGTGAGACAGCAACCTGGAAGATGCAGGAAGGTGTTCTGTGAAATGCACATCATGCATGTGTGAAACCCAGATGAGGTGGGTGGGTGAGGTGATACTACAGCTTGGGGTGGGCTTGCAGGAATCTTGAAAATGAAGACCAGCCAGAACAACAGCCAGAAATGACCCAAGCAGCAGCATTCAGGAAGACAAATGGAAGAATTACATTTGCCTTATCACCAGGCAAAATGCCACCAGATGAAGCCTTGTACAAGACACCTAGGGAGTTTACCATACTGCCACATGATCCTGCTCTGCTCCTTGCTTAGCCATGGCTAAACTGCAGCCACACAGTGTGCCTGGCTCCAAACTCACCAAAATGGAGCTGGGGATGTCCAGCACTTCCAACGAATGCAGCAGCTCCCCATGCTGCACCAAGCACTCCCCGGGCAAGTAAATCTAGGTCAGGCCCTTTCACAGAGTGCCTGCGGTGAGGATTTGACTGACACTTGTAAGATTGCCAGGTCCATGACACTCCTCCTCTGCAAGTCTCAAATCCCTGCTGTGGAAGGAAAATTAAAACCTTCCCTGCACAAGTTTTAAGTCCACAGAAGTCATCAGCTCATCTTGCCTGACCTGGCATGATGTTGGCCACCAGTTCTACTCACTTACACTGCATCCATGTTTGCATTATTTTGAAAACCTACACACAGATTATTTCTCCTCTGGCCTTCTTGCTCTGAGTATTTCAAGATTTGTTTAAAAACAAGTCTATGCTGCAACCAAGTCTCTTAGGACTCTTGCTGTTTATCACTAGTCCAGCATCCTTCTTCAGCAATGAACTCAACAGTGATCTAGTTTCTTTCCATAAATTTGCAGTTCAGAAAGCTCAGATACAGAATTTGTTTTTAATATTTGGCTCTTTCACATGACTGATGTGTATAATGCTTACTATTTGTTTCTGATGCGTTTTAAAAGTATTATTTTATTTTTTTTTGTATTTCACACTGTCTCAATTGCCAACAATTTATTTTTTACTGCTTGTTACACATTCTTGTATGTCTAATTGCAGCTTTCCCTAAATGAGGCTTATTAAGCATTTAACTAAACCCACCCTCTTTCACAGCTGTAGCTTTTGGTCATCTAATAAATGCTTTTTAAACAGATCTCCATTCTATTTCACAGATTTTCTACTTAAATGTTACCTTTCAACTGAGTCATCACGCCCATCAGCTTTGGAGGCACTAAGATGTTACACCACAGCTGGAATGGGCTCCGTTAGCCTGCAAGAATGCAACTGGTATTTTTAATGAAGCCACCAAATTCCAGTCCAGTGACAAATTTGTGTTTACCCATGACACAGATGCCAAACAGGCATTCAGAAATACATTTCCATAAACAATGTTCTCAGTCACAACTTTCAGAGACTCAGATTTTGTTCGCTCATAGGTTGCATGAGCTTTGCAATCTGCTGCTCTAAATTAAAACTTCTAACAGCATCATTTTCTCTATCCCCTTTGGCATATTTCTGACAAATCCTTGACTCTCTGGATTGGTTTGATAGTCTCTGACAGCCTCCAAGAATGCCTCCTTGTGAGCTTTGCTAGGAGATTGAACACTGACTCGAAACCAAGCCCCTTACAATGAGGTGTCAAGATGGAGCACACTCCCACCTCTATCCTTCCCGTGGTGGCCCTGATTTCAATCACATAGCTCATTCTGCTCATCTCAAAAAAGCCACTTTCATTGACTTTCCTTCAATCAATGAAAACTCCTAATCCTTATAACCCAACCCTGTGCAGGAGCACACACGCAATTAGAGGGGTTTCTCCCTGCCCCGCTCTGGAAGGAAAGTTAACCCATGGAGACCAGATCCATGGGGATGCGTGTCCATTGCACAGGAGCTGGGGGGCTCGCCCAAAAGGTCTGCATCACCCCACAACTCCCCCTCATGGAGGCTCACCTGCCAGCATCCCCCGCAGCACAGCGCAGCCTCGCAGGGCGCCCAGGCTGCTAGTGCAGTCTGAAGAGGGACGTGCTGCCCATCAGTGCTGAGGACAATCCCTTGCACCAGCTCCCTAAGGAAGAATCTCAGACTGGGAGAGGCCAGCCCAGCCCCAGGCTCACAGCTCAGCAGAGTCAAGCAGTGACTCAGGACAAAACAAACCAGCTGCAAATATTTGAAGTATGTGGACGCCAGGAGGGGAGGAGCCACTGCCTGCTATGAGAAGAAAGGGGATGAAACTAGGGCAGGGAATAATTAATCTGAGCAAAGGCTAAACTTGCTGCCAGGAGCAGGATCTGGCTGGGGTGAAAACTCTCACTTTGGACTTCAGTCATAAGCCTGTATCAGAATATCCCCACTGCAGTGTCTCACTGCTCTTTAAGAGAAAGCCAGGGTGGCAGCAGAGGGGTGCCACAGTAAAAGAGGACTTCAGCCCACAGAAGGGAATTCAGCCTTGGCAGAGTCCTGAAACAAAGAAGCAGGAGATAAATCCAGACAAACCATAAAAACTAGCTGAATGATAAAATACTAATGACTCTTCTCCAGGGCCTCTGGAATGGCTTGATGACTCAAAGATGTCTCATGCAGAGCCTAGTCAGTGGGATGTCTCTATGCCAGGTAAGATGACAATCATCATCCCAACACAGCCCCACCGCATTTAGCGTGAACAGGGGATGGTTCCAACCCGAGA